GCGCAAGGCGAACCTATGCTGGGGTTTTCTTGGGAAGTTTGGTACAGAGGGGTAGAATTCAAAGATATAGCTGTATCAGTCTGTAGGATCAGTCAGTCTGTGTAGAGAGCTTGTAACACCTTTGAGACTCATGGAAAGACAGAAATTGGCAGTAGGAGCTTTGGTAGACTTCAGTCTGCTTCCTAAGATGTATTTGGAGGAAGGAGACTCAAGTCTATGAAAGTTCATGCTGCCAACTTCTTTCTTTCAGTGAGTCTCAAAGGTGTTACAAGATCTCTCTATGTACTGGTACAGAGGGGTTTGCCATGGCCATCCTCCGAGGCTAAGAGAGTGCTTTACATGGAAAAAGACGCCTGAGTTTACACACACACACACCCATCCATCCCCAGCACCTCATGATCGAATCTGGTTTTGAGGGAGCAAAGATCCAGTCTTGGTGGGTCCCAAGGGCTCAGGGTGTCTGGCAAGGGCCCCTCCAGTCAGTGCTGGCTGCTCAGCGTGTGGGTCCCATGTGCCAGCCTCTTCTGGGGCAAGATCTCTGGTTGGCATTGGTCAGAGATGGGCATTTGCCAAAGTTGGCCCTGCCACTTGTTGAACTTCCTTCATTCCCTTTGGGATTTTGGCTTGATGTTGGTGCCCCTCGGCAGACCCAAGTCCTTCTTTGCGCTCTGGGTGTGCTCCTTCCCAGGTTGATTCTCTCTTCAGTTTGGGAAATGGGAGGCCTTTCCTAGCCCATTAAAAGTCCTCTGTCGTGTGCCTTCAAGTCCTTAAGGTGACCCTAAGGTGATCCTATCACAAGGTTTTCTTGGCAATTTTTTTTTAGAGAAGGTTTGGCATTGCCATCCTCTGAGGCTGAGAGAGTATACCTTGCCCAGGGTCAGCCAGTGGGTTTCTACATTAAAAAATGCTATAGCTTCTCTCTCTCTCTCTCTTTCTCTTTCTCTCTCTCTCTCTTTCCCCCTTCCCTCTTTGCAAATCCCATCCACTCTTTTTGTTTTGGTCATCCCACCTCAGTGTCCCTGAAAGAGCAGCAGAGGATCAGTTTGGTGTACCTTGGCCTTATAAATAGGAAGCGCGTAAAAGGGGAAACCCATGGGAAGCGGGTTGAGAGCAAAGAGTTTTAGCTCAAAGATAGGTGGACTGCCTCCCCCTTTTGAAAAGGGAAATTGAAATATCTGTGCATGAACCCTTTTTGAAGCAACTGCCAGGGTCTTTCTCTCTCTCTCTGTCTCTCTGTCTCTCTCTCTCTCACAGAGGGGAGAAGTGTGTAGTGCTGAGGAAGTGTAGCAAGAGAGAACATGAGAACAGCGCAGCTCCTGTGAATGAACGTTAAAATATTTTTTTTCTTTGTGGCCAGCACAATTCTCTGCTTCCCCTGGATCCCCAAAAGTATTAATACTTTTATGCATGGGAGGTGGGAAGGGGAAGAAGCAGAGAGACCAACAGGGAGGTGGTGGAAAGAAGTTTCCATGATTGCACAGCCAGTGTAAGTGGTTGTTGTTGTGCCTTCAAGCCCTTGCCAAATTTCTGGCGACCCTAAGACGAACCAATCACAGGGATTTTCTTGGCAAGTTTCTTCAGAGAGGGTTTGCCATTGCCATCCTCTGAAGCTGAGAGAGTGTGACTTGCCCAAGGACACTCAGTGGGTTCGATGGCCAAGCAAGGATTTGAACCCTGGCCTCTAGAGTCATAGTCAAATGCTCAAACTACTACGCCATTAACTGTATGCATGTCAGAAGGAGAAAAAACTGGAGGGTAAGGATGAGGAGCAGGAACACTTGGCCACCTGAAGAACAGATGCTGGTCAGGGTCACAAACCAGCACACAGTGAGTGGTGCTGGATACCCTTCCCATCGTTGCCTTGGTTTATAGTCATTTTTTTTTAAAGAGAAATCAGCCATTACTTAATACATCAGATCCTGGTTTTCAGTGCTAGGATGATTGCCTGTTCTGAACCTTTGGGAAATTGTTGGACTGTAATACTAAATTCATTGGTTAACAGGCAAAAGTGGCTGGCAATTCCTCATGCTCACAACCCTTCCTTGAGAATCCCTTCACAACTCTATATCTGACAAAGTGGCCCCAATCCATGAAATCGTATGCCAAATACAACTGGTCAGAAATTAAGGGGCCATTGTTTTGTTTTGTTTTTCTGCAAAAGATTTAACTCGGCTCCCCATACTCTTAATTTTCTTTATCGCTTCCCTCTTCTAGGGTCCTTTCGCATTACACAGTTACAGCGCTATGATTCCTCTTTAATTGATGTGGCTCTGGCCTATGGAATCCTGGGATATTTACAGGCTAGGGAGGCGGCTTTAAAATCCTCAGCTAGGGAGCCCCTCTGGTGCTTCTTCTGATCAAAATACAGACCCCAGGATTCCATAGGATAGAAACATGGCAGTTAAAGTGGAATCATTGCACTATAAATATATAACTTGAAAGGGCCCCAGAGCAGTCATTCCTCCTCCTCCATAAGAGCCATGGATGCATCTACACTGTAGAAATGATGCTGTTTGATACCACATTAAGTGCTGTACCTTCATCCTATGGAATCCTGGGATTTGTATTTTTTCAAGGTCTTTTGCCTTCTCTGCCAAAGAGGGCTGGTGCCTCACAAAACTACAGATCCCAGGATTCTATACGATGGAGCCATGGCAGTTAAAGTGTTTGTCAGACTGCATTATTTCTAAAGTGTAGCTGTGCCCCGTGTTTTAGTAAGCAGATCTCAAGGTTATGTCAAATGATTCCCCTCAATCTCCTAAGGCACACTCCTCAATTTCAGTGCTTCCTTCTTCAGTAGTTCTTCTGGTTTAGTTAAAGCATATGCATCAGTTTGAGGACACTTTATATAATAATAATAATAATAATAATAATAATAATAATAATAATACTCTGTACAGCAGCACATAGCTGCATTTGAATGGCCCAAGATTTACATGATGAGCTTGAGAATAAGACTTCTGTCATTCCTCTGATCATGGATTCACACAATAATCAATTTCTCTGCAGTGTCAGCTTCTCCACACACACTCACACCACGGGCCTATATGGTAGCCTCCTATGGCACTGGGCTTTCTTTACAGCATTTCTCTCCAACTCTATATTTATTGAGCTCAGAGTGCAATTTTAAGTGAGTAACCAAAGATCAAGCTCAGTGGTGAGGTGTTTGCCCCTTCCCAAATTTCCATTTTACAGGGTTCTCCCTATATCAATAGTCCCATAGTTTATTGTGTGATGGTGACAATGAAGGAAAGAACATTTTGGAGGATGTTGTCTATATCACTGACTTCTGAGCTTAGAAAAGTTCATTTTTTGGACTACAACTCTCAGAATCCTTCAGGAGCACTTCAACTGTCTTGGTTTGGGGATTCTGGAAGCCATATCCAATAAAATGATTTCTCCGCGTTGTGCTGGAATGCCACTTTCTCAGAGGAATATTAACTTTTGTGTTACACATGCACATATACATGCACACACACACATATATACATAAACATATGCACGTGTTTCAGGAACATATGATTGAGAGGAATCATCAGAGGGAGTCTTTCTTTGCTTTGGCATTATCTGCAATTTTAACAGCTGAACTAGAAATCACTTCCCCTTGCAGTTCTTGATATCTACTGTCCAGTTTCTATCAATCTGAATCTATCATAGTGTGATGGGTGATTTCTATTCATCCCAGGAATTAGAGACACAGAAAAAGTGAAATGATACCCTGCAAAGTTCTCATTGGGGGTGGGAATTTTTTTTGGGGGGGGGGTAAGTCTGATTTCCAGAGAGATGAAAAAAGTACATACATACCTGCACCAAGAAAATAGAGGGTCTGGAAAAGAAGTCTAGAAGGGCCAGTTACTGCCTGTAGGTGATTTACTCTGACCATATTGATTCCTGACTATCATTCCATGCTAACTTGTTCTTCTGGGCTTTTTCCTTGCGTCTACAGGTTGATGACCATGGTTGCCAGGACCTGCTCTCTACTAGCACTGCTGCTTTCTCATATATTGCTTAGTGGTTTGGCCAGCCTCATCCCAGAGGTGGGGGACCGGCGAAGGTTCAGTGGCGACTTGGCTCAGGCTGCTCCCCTGCAGCTCTCAGAAGGGATCCTGCGTGAATTTGAACTGCGTCTGCTCAATATGTTTGGGCTCCAGCGACGGCCAACTCCAAGCAAGGATGCCATTATTCCTCCCTATATGTTGGAGCTCTACCACCTGCACACAAGTCAGAAGCCAACCACCATGGACTATAATCTGGAGAGAGCTACCAGCAGGGCTAATACGGTCAGGAGCTTCCACCATGAAGGTGAGTTTCATCCTTCATCTTCCACTGTGGTGGACCCAAACCAAACACAAGGCAAACTGAACTGATTTGAATGTTGGCAACCTGAAACTTTGAATTCAAGGTTTGCCAAGATGTTTGGGAAGTTGGTTAGTTGAAATCTTACCATTCACTCATTTAATATGAATCACTTCCTGCTTCAATAGTTGGGAATTCCTCATTACACAATTTTAAATCCTTCCTGATTGGTTGATAGATAGAACGCATATGCTCTGCTCTGGTGAGGATCGTGCCCCTTTTGAGAGACAGCAGTCAAAGAGTTGAAATTCAAATACAATGGTCATGTTTGATTGGCCAGTTTAGAGAAGGTGCCACTATTTCTTCTTCCTATCCACCATGTCTGCTAAGAAAGAGATTGCCTGAAAGTGGAAACAAATGTATAAATTACCCTTCCTCAGTATCTTTTAATGTAAAACCCCTCTCAACTTATATAGATCAGTACAGGCCTATTTAAATATTTTAAACAGTTAGAATATTTTAACCAGTTCTAAAATTAATACTCTTACTCACGGTTATTTGGATGTAAATAGCCTAGTCTTTTTTCTAGTATGTACGTTTTTTAAAATATGAAATAATTTGATGGACTAAAAGATGGTATGGAAACATTAGTTTGACAGGATGGAATTTTCCATAACGAATACAGCACATAATAGTGCTGATTTTAAACTAGAGAGATTCAGATTCATATTCTCCTTCTCCAATATGAAATTGAGTTTGGGATAGTATAGGTTTGTATGAAGAGAACTCATGGCCATTTTCATGAATGTCCATTGACTCTTGGATCCAAAAAATCAAAGGTAAATCTTGTTGCTGCAAAATACCCCACATTACAATGAGTCTCCTAGATGGAATTTTTTTGCAAAACATAATATTTGAACAATGTATCTCCTGCCCTTTTGTTTTCTTAGTGATAATCACCACTGCAACACATGTCCTTGAATGTTGCAAAATTAAGAAACAGTTTTAAAATCTGTCATTTTAAAATCCTAATGGTAACAAGAGCTTCTGCCTTATGAGGTCCTTGCTTTTCTCTTATATCTGCTTGTATTGGGTTGTTGTTGGTCAATTTGCTGAAAGCAGGGGGCAAGAACAGGTGAGAGGGGTTGCACAAGGTGATGTATGTGTGTATAAATGATATGAAACAGCCTGGAGCCGAAATAGGGAGGAGAACAAGGAATGTTACTTTTTCACTGAGTAGCTAGTAATCTTGCTTGCAGTTGAGGTTTTATTTCCTCAAACATTTAGAGAGTAGCAGGGTATCTTTCTAATTCAGTTTTGTTCTATGCCCTGTACTCATTTTTTATTCTCCCTTTTAAATGGCCTTAATTGCTTCCAAGCAAGAGAAAGTAGGTTTATTTTTATTTTGGTACCTACAGAGTCTGTCCCAATGTTGAGTTTCCACCAATAACTTCAGTTTTTGAAAGCTAAATAGCAAGGAACTTCTCTCTAATTTACAAAGAGCTATATGAGCATTTAGGAGGTATTCTAATCTCTTTCTAATCCCATGAGAGAGATCAGTTTTAACAATCGATTGTATTGTCTTTACCATGCATTTGTCTTCTGTTTAAATCTAGATTTAGCATAGACCAAAGGTAAACTCTTCAGAAAGCAAGCCTGTCTCATGAATTTCATGGGCAACTGGGCCTCCAAGTCACTCAGATAAAAAGATACTGGCAATGGCAAATGCGTACTTAACAGACACAACAATTATGGTTAATGGAGTACACTGTTTAGATACTCTCTGTAACCAAATATCACTGTCTTTTTAGAACTCAACCATTTTACTAAATTAAAGGAAGCTTGCCCAAAATTGTATACAAAGTGTTTATATCAAAGCTCTTTAAAGCTTGAGCAAACTTGCCCAGAGCAGTGCTTTGCAAAGCACTTGTCACATTGCATTTGCAAACAATTGTTTCATTTTTTGCTGCCTGTCATTTTTCTCTTTCACATATGTTCCAAAGTGTCTCCATAATCCATTTCCATGTCCTTCCTTCTTCAGTTTGAGATCCCAAGCAGAATATTCCTGACCAATAAAGTTGGGTTGAAATGGCTTCATTTTTCAATTAGCAGATACAGAACCATAGTATCCCACAGAAATTTCAGCTAGCATCAGCCCTCTGTATCCATGGATTCTGCAACCATGGATTCAGCCATCCACAGCTTGAAAACATATATATTTTAAAAAATTCCAACAAGCAAACCTTGATTTTGTCATGTTAAATTAGAGACACCATTTTACTATGCCATTGTATATAATGGGACTTGGAACATCCACAGTTTTTGGTATCAATTGGGAGTCTTGGAACAAAACCCCAGCCGATACCAAGGGTCCAATGTACATGTAACATAAGGTTCCCCATTTGGCATATGTTCTATTTACAGCTG